TCTTGAGCATCCAACCCTTTTTTCATAAAACACAAAGTAATGTGCAGAGGAACTAAAAGGCCATAAAGCACACATGGATATATTGTTTCATTTGGTATCCTGAGCTCTTTGTAATCATTTTTTTTTTTCCTCAACTGGTTATGGTTTTTGAGAAACAAATTTTTGAGAAAATTGTTTTAGTTGAATATATAATCAGTATCATATTCATAAAATTATGACCTTTGTAATATTTAGCATTTTATCATGAATATTTTTCAATATCACATTATTTATGTAAGTTTATAGATAATTTCTTAGAAGCTTAATACATCATTTCTGAATGTATGTGCATCCAATAAATCTATGCTCACACATACACGCATAAAAAGAATATATTAACTTACTTTTAAGTATTTATCAAGTCAATAGAAGAACAAATGTGGTTTTCCAGACATCTTTTCTACAACCAAATAATATCTACATGATCAAATATAATTTGCTGATTAATATCATAAAGGGCGGGACTGATAACAGACTTTTAAAATAATAAGTGAGATTCAGATATTTGGGAAAAAGAAGAACCGTTACTAAATTATTATAGACAAAATCAGAAATGAAGGCAACTCAAACTACGGATACCAAACTATGTTATAAAGAAACAAGTCCCCCAGGTCATGTCTATTTGGGTGAACGCTGTGAATATTTTTTTCTCAGAGTAGTACCCCAGATAAGCCAAGGACCTGTTCAAACTTCAGTGATCTGCTGACGATGCTCAGAGTATGGCAGTTTCACTTCTGAGGAATATTAATAAAATTTTGGGGATTATAGTGTAATGGAATTGATTTGCTTATGTAATTCTAAGTAATTTTAATAAAAAATTGTTTGAATGATAATATTCTGTTTTGTTTCCAACAGTAAATAAGGGTATTTAAATTATCATATTTCTCAACCTAAATCTCCTAGGTTTAGAATCATACTTATTACACACATGTACAATATCTATCTCCACTCACAGGCACTTCTCTTTTTAAAGCCTAAAGTTGAATTTGTAAATCCCCAGTGACTTTAAGTGATTCCCTATCAAACTTGTAGATATCACAGTAAAATTCTAATGTGGCAACAGCAACATTTCTCAGACAGGACCATCTCTAAACTAAGGCACAGAGAATTCACAGGTTCTGTATCATGTTTTAAAATATTCTTTTTTCATTTTGACAGCATCTAAAACACTCAATATACCTGGACTATCTGAATGACCTGCCCTAAAACCAAGATCTGACAAAGGAATTAATTCCTTGTTTTTTTTTTTTAAATTCACATTGACACCACTTTAAGCTATTTTAATTTGCAGGGTAACAAATAAAAGAATAATGGTGACTCAATATGATAAAATCCATTTACCCAAAGAAAATGAAAACACTAATTCAAAAAGATATGTGTCCCCATGTTCATTGCAGCAATATTTACAATAGTCAAGTTATGAGAACAATCCAAGTGTCCATTGGTGGATGAACAGATAAAGAAAATGTAATATACACACATACAGGTATATTATATTCAGCCATAAAAAAATGAAACGATATTTGTGACAACATGGATAGATGTTGAAGGCATTATGCCAAGTGAAATAGTTAGAGAAAGACAGGTACTAAGTGATTTCATTTATGTGTGGAATCTAAAAAGAAAAAAAATCCATTATTGCCTCGAAATAAATAATATCACTGTAGTACACTAGCAAAGTTTTTATATTTTAAATTAGTATGTAACATATAATATTTTAAATTCAACAAAATAACAAGTTCAGAGAATCAAGTTTTTATTCATTTTTGAAGCATTAAATAAGAAAATTATATTACTCATTTATGAAATTTATGTTGATTATTAGCATTTAAGTGGTTTATATGAGTGTTTGTCTGTGTGGATCTTACACATGTAGAAGAGCTACAAGCTGGAGAAATGTATCACTACATTCATACTTGCACATACTTAAGTAGTAACCGTACAATAAATATAAAGCTAAAAAAATAGAAATGGTTTGTCCATAATGGAAGACTCTTGACAATGTCTTTTCTTTTAAAATGAACTTTACATTACTCAAGAACTTTGTCCTGCAACAGTCTAACTTTAGAAGTAAACCATCTGATAAAGGGACCACTCCCATCACATGTCTGATAGGCACTGAAATGTGACTCCTCCGCACTGAGACACAATGTAAATATAGGTAACATTTCAAACTTTAATGACATTTTTACATGTAAAATATTTCATTAATAATTTTATACCAATGCCATGTTGAAATGAAAATATCTTTGAAATGTCAGATGAATAAAACTTTAGTAAAACTGATTTTACCATTTCCTTTTACTATTTGAATATGGCTTCTAGAAAGCATACTATATATGTGGCCTGCATCGTATTTCTCTTGGGTTCTTTACAAGGTTACCTGCTTCCTTATGTCATGGGCACACTTATTTTGGATACTTCTTGATTATCTTGAACATACTACTGCTTTTTATTCTTCTGTATATTTGCATATGATATTACTTCTTTTTGGATTGCCCTTCTTATCTTTCTATTCTTTGAGAATTTATTGTAACTCTTCACTACTTAATTCAGGCTAATACCTCTGGAACCTTCTGATTTTTCTAAGTTAGATTTATAGCCCTGTGCATGTCAATATCTTAGCACCTATCACATATTACAACTGTTTTTCTTCATGTTTGTTTTCCTGTGAGATCTTGTGTGCCAGGGTATTGTTTTAACTAGCTCTTCATTCACAGCCTTTAGGCCAGCATCTAGTGAATGCTCTGCACACAGTGAATGTTCAGTAGATAATAGTCAAATGAATTATTAAATGAATGAGAGATGAATGATTATAGTTGCAGCTGAAAGTGTATACGTTACATTCCTGTCTAACTACCTCTTATGTCATTTGGCTTATCTTTGTCCTACTGTCCTATGCAAGGTAGACTAAAGCCAAAGAAGTTTAACATATTCTTTACAGCTGTGAATTTATCACTGATGTTTCTGAGCTCTTGTTTTGTGTAATTTATTTCACCTATGGATTGTCTCTCCTTTTCATAGATGCTATTTCTATCTCTCACTTTATCCACCCATATATGGAATTAAGCCATTTTCTAAATACCCGAAAACCACACAAAGAATCGTGTGTGTAATAGATCTTATTTAGGACTTGCACTGGTAAAAGGAGTTTTGTTTACAAAATAAACCAATTTCAAAAGAAGCATCACACAGAACTACTTAAAACGTTTTTCCTAGATTGTCCAACACTGGATTTTTTTTTTTTTTCACCAGAAAGGGTTCCAACCCCTTTTTTTTTTTTTTGCCTCTCCTATATCTTCCCTCTAAAACTCCTGTCCTCTCTCTTGAATGTCCAAGAGGTCTCCTTATACATTTTAGACACTGATTTACTTCTCCTGACCTTACTTTCAGACTCAGCTTCAGATGTATTCCAGAGCTATCAAGCAAATCAGAAGGATGAAAATATCTCTTATTTGCTCATATATACATCATGACTATACATTTACGCTGGAAAATACAGTTTTATCCTCAACAACACATAAAAAATACCATCACAAATATAATTATGTTTTTGCTAGTGGATTTAGAACCATTGAAATAAATTCAATATTTGTGAAAATAAACATCTAGAAAAAGATTGTAATTTTTGCTTTGTATTTTATGGTTTCTAAAACTAATTTGTTATATCCAGTTTAATACGTTTTGGGGATAAATATGAATTACCCCAGAGTTGGAATCTTGTGTTAGTCTGCAATATAGTTAACATTTTTTAAACTATCAAATGTATTAATATATAGTAAGCAAATTCTGATAAACTAATCAATAACAGGGTAAAATAAGAACTATCTTCTTAAAATAACTGGCATCAAAAATTCCAGAACCACAATACATAAGTAAGTCTTCTACTTCAACAGAAAATAACCAAGAGCTTAAAAAAATAAACATGAATATTTTGATAAAGTCCATTTAGTGTTAAGTACACATTTGGGCTTCCTGGTGGCTCAGATAGTAAAGAGTCTGCCAGCAATGTGGGAGACCTGGGTTCGATCCCTGGGTTGGGAAGATCCCCTGGAGAAGGAAATAGCAATCCACTCCAGTATTCTTCCCTGGACAATCCCATGGATGAAGGAGCCTGGAGGGCTATAGTCTGTGGGGTGGCAAAGAGTCAGACATGACTGAGCAGATAACACTTTAACTATAACCACATATTTAGGGCAGATAAATATAAAAATGTATTCAGAACAATTTCTTATTCTATTACAAAGTAATTTGAACAAACAAACAAAAGTTCAGTTTTAAAGAGCAATTTGCCTTCCCACTCCAGGCTTTCTATTCAGCGTCAGCTCAATTTTAAGGTTTATGTCTCACTATTGCCTTCCAGTAATGATGGGAGTATAAACTACATCAAGAACAGGAACCAAGATGTTGAGAAAAAAAAAAGAAGAAAACATTCCAAGTTATATTTAGAAGGTAGAGTCAATAAGGTATAAAATGAATTGGATGTGGTAATTGAAGGAGTAATAATAGGAAGAGCCTCACCTTTTGAGATTCATGCAAATAAAAGACCCACTGATGGGCAGGAGTGGCAGGAAACTAGAAAGTCTTCTTGGTGCTCTCTATTCTATGTGAAAATTAGAAAGTAATTGAGAGATAAAAATATAGAACTTGAAGAAAAGAATGTGAAATCAGAATTGATCTGCTAGATTACAGAGAGAATGAAGGGATAAAGGTCCAGGATATTTCCACACAGCTAAAGAAGAAGTGTGTATTGTTTTTACACCTAAATGTATTTATTTATCCTGATACAAAAACACAAGTTCTCTGGATCAGAACACAAACTGATTATTTACTCACATGTCAATCATAGTGTTAGCTTTCTATGCCCTAATTCCCCAGGTGGAATGCAGCACGAGTCAGATATATCCTTCTTGTCCTTCTTGCCCTTCTCATCAATACCACAGGGGAGCATCTCTGAAATTATGCATCTTGGAACTTATAGAGGTCAGCTGGCCCATTTAACCCTCAACCTCTCTGGAGAGAGAATGGCCTTTGGTTTGGAAAGCAAAATCACCCTATTTGGGAAAAGGAGGTAAAGTTTCTTAGATTTATTCTCATTTTGATATGTAAATTAATGGTCCACTGGAATTGTCTGAATCTCTCTCTCTCTGTAAGTCTTGTAGGCAGAGCAATATTTTTTCTCTGCTCTCTTGAGGTCTCTGGCTGAACTTGAGAATTAAGTTGACATAGACAGATTAATAGGAGAAAAGTATACACAGTTTATTTTTATATGTACATGGAAGCCTTCACAGGAAAATGAAGGCCCAAACAATGCCTAGGTTCCCTAAGTTCTGATATACTAGATTGAAGAAAGAGTAGTAATTGTGAAGAAAGTAAAATATTTAGGAAGACCAAAGGAGGATAACAGTCATTTTAACAAGATGTGTTTGCACAGATTCTTCTCAGCCTCAACTCCCCTTCTCTGGTGATGAGAATGTCCTTTTCCTCCAGGTTCAGGGATGGCATCTTTTGGATAGGACTTACATTTCTTGTTTCAAGAAGAAAAGTGAAGGTCAGATGCCTCTTTTGGTACCTGCTGTTTTTCTAAGTACCTTTAGATCAAAAACATCAATATATCAAATTGGCCTATTTTGGGGTGGCATGTTCTGAACCCTTTCATTCTGTCTTTACTTTTCAAGACTTGTTTTCCACTCAAACACTTCTTTAACCAAGGATCCAGCAATCTTTGTTCCAAAAGCCCCATTGGTGCAGAAACATGGAAATATTCAAGAAGCATTGTTTTCTGACAACAGAGTAGTAATGTGGGTCAAGATGAATAATGCAGTCTATGGATCAGGTTGTTCAAGCAATGACTAAGGATGAGAAAAATTAAGGAGCTAGGTGGATTAACCCCACAGACTCCCTATATCTCATAAGGACAGAAATCAGTTTTTCAAAGCCCTTTAAAATCTGTTGGAATGCCCTAGTATAAAGGAGTACAGCATGTGTAGAGGCTATGAATCACAAAGAAAGAGGGCACTTTATAATCAGGCAGGAAATAGTTGAAAGCCCATAGAATTTTGACACCCCCCTCACTTTTGAATCATTGGAAAATAAGTAGCTTTTTAAAAAAGAACCAAAATAAACAATGTTATGGAGAGAGCTGGGTTTGAATTGAAGCAAAATGAGGCTGCATATATTCTGTGATGTGGCTGAGTAAATATTGTTTACCACAAAACTAGCATTTCAGAGACCTCAGGAGAAAGGAGAGAGAAGAAAACATTTTTAGGACAAGAAGTCAAGATAGATAAATGGGAAAACCTCCTGTTTTCTGTATTCTACCTCCCTTCACTTCTGAAACCAGACATGTTGTTTTTTTTCAAACCAAGCAATTTTTCCAATTCTCTGTGGATACTAACTGGGTGTGCCCAATTCTGACACTGTTGGAGGTGACACTTCCACAGGTGAAGGACTCAGTACTATAATGAGGCAAGTAGTAGATGGACCCCCCAGTGTAAAATAATTGGAGAGCCATTCTCTGTGGACCAAAACTCCAAGACTAGAATAGCAGAACAATTGAGGGAGGAGGCTGGGTCCTGTCCAGATCACATATTTCTCCTTGTCCAAGCCAGGAGATTTCCCCAACCGCACACGCACAGAAAGTCTCCTTGGAGGTCAAAGGGAAGTGATGCCAAGGGATGCTTTACCCATATGCCTTTTTGGTAGAATCCACCTTGGCTAAGAGATGCATGTGCATACTTGGGAGGATCCTAAGATATGGGCTCTGAACCAGGAAAATCAACATGATTGGCTAAAGGAAACCCAGAAAAGTTGCCACATGAAAGTAATTCAAACTGCCATGAGGGTGCAGCTCAGGAACTCTCTCTCTGAGCCCACCTGTGTGTCTATCCACACATGTTATAGTCTTTTCCTCCTAATAAATACTTTACTTGCTCCACTACTTTCTGTTATGTGTCTCCACTACTTTATGTTAATTTACACAAAGCTGAAGAGCCAGGATCCTTGCCACGGACCACTGATCTAGAGGCTAGGACCTGTGCTCTCATCACCACTGTGGCCTGTCTTCAATCTTTGGGTCAGGGAACTGAAACCCTGCTTTAAGCCACTGCAGGCTAGCAGAGGCCACCTGATATCAGGAAGGCTGCCCGACCCCAACCTCAGACCCCAATCGCAATTTTTAGGTTGTCATCTGTATTTCTGATCAAGCAATTATCAATTGGAAGTTCCCACAACCCCTCTCCTGAGGTTCAATAATTTGCTGGAATGGCTCACTGAACTCAGGAAAGCACTTTACTTAGTGTTACAGATGTATAACCAAGAATATATTACAGGATAAAAATGAACAGGCTGGTAAAGAGATACGTATGATAAGGTATGTAGGAAGGAGTGACTTGCTTTTATACCCTCCCTGGCCAAGCGACCCTTCTCACACCTCCATCTGTACGCCAACCCAGAAGCTCTCTAAATCCTTTTGGTGAGGGTTTTTTAATGGAGGCTTCATTATATAGGCATGAGTGACTAAATCATTGTCTGTTAGTGATCAATGCAACCTCCAGTTACTCACCTATCCCTGGAGGTTAGAGGTTGGGGCTGAAGTTTACAGCTCTCTGATAACATTTGGTTCCTCTGGCAATCATACCTTCATACTTAGGGGCTTTCAAAAAGTCACCTTATTGACATAAAAGGAGGTCTGCATTGGTATTTGTTATGCATAACAAAAATATGTATTTCATGTCCATTGTCCTAGAGCTGCTTCGGGATCTCAAGACAGAAACCAAATATTATGATAAAAGATACTCCTATTGCTCTCAGAAAATTAGGAAATTACAGTTAGAAATCATTTAGGAAACTACAAGAGTTTCAGAAACTCTGGCCAGGACCCTGGACAGACTCTTTACCCCCACCCCCAACAGGGTAAAGCAACTGGAGATTCATTCCCTGTAAACCAAAACTCCAAGATAAGAATAGCAGGATAATTAAGGGAGGAAGCTAGGTCCTCCCAAGACCACGTTTTTCTCATTCTCGAAGTCAGGAGACCTCCCAGACCACACAGGCACAGAAAGGCTCCTTGGAGGTCAAAGGGGGAGTGATCTCAAGGGATGCTCTATGCATATGCCTTTTCAGTAGAACTCATCTTGGCTAAGAGATGTGTGTACGCACATGAAAACACACATGAGAGGATTCTAGGATGTACCAAATATGGACTGTGAACCAGACAAATCTAAATGACTGTCTAAAAGAAACCTGGAAGAGATGCCTATAAAAGTAATTCAAATTGCCACGAGGGAATGACTCAGTGACTCTGAGTCCACCCCTGTGTCTATCCACATGTACTATACTTTTTGTTTTCTCCCCCTCTTAATAAATACTTAACTTGCTTCATTACTTTCTGTCTTTGTGGAAATTCTTTTCTGCAAAGCCAAAGGGCCAGGGCCTTGTCACTGACCACTGGACTACTGGCTAGCATCTGGTGCGCTCAGGGCCACAACCCAGCCTCAGTCTCCAGCTGGGAACCAAACCCTGCTGCAAGCCATTGCAGGCCAACTCCACTCAAGATCAGAAGGAAACTGCACATATTTGCTATTATATAACAATTTTACAGTAGACGAAGTTCCAACCAATGCAATCATGGATTTGAAGAAGGGTCAATGAGTTAAAGGTGCTTTTTAGACAGACTGAAGACTATAGGAATTTTTATCTCAATCTCTTAGGATAAGGATCTTTAAAAAAATTCATTTATCTTTTAACATAAACATAGTACTTGAGTTAATTTTGTTAAGCAGTTATTTGCAATGCCTGTTATTTTTTTCAACTTCCTAATTTATTTGTAACTAAGCTTGAATTTATTGTTCACAAAGATGAAATAATAGTAGAAATATGTGTGAAGAGAATGTTGGAAGCATCTCCACACAGTGATGTGTATGCGGCAGGCTGTACATAAAGTTTCTGAGAGAAGCCATGCCCTATATGCCTGGACATGGAGAATAAGGAGCAGGGAGTTCTCAGATCAGCCTTAAATAGACACTAACAAAAAATAAAGGAAGCTAGAGATAAACCACTACTATTTATACCTTCTTCCTATTTCTCCCTTACTCATCTTCACTTGCTCTTTTTCCTTATTTTTTGCTTCTTACCTATCACTCTATTTTTTTTTTTTTACCTATCACTCTTTCCCTGCTTTTTTCCTCCACTCTTTTTCCTCTTCTTACTACTTTTCCTTCATAGTCGTTGGGGTTAACATATACACACTACTATGAATAAAATAGATAATCAGTAAGGACCTACTACAACACAGGAAACTTCACTCAATATGATAACCTTTATGGGAAAACAATCTGTAAAAAAAATGGATGTATATGAGATGTATAAAGAGATGTATAAAGAGAATTGCTTTGCTGTACCCCTGAAGTTAGCACATTATAAATCAACTACACCCAAACATAAAATATAAATAATTAAATAAAATCTGCATTTCAACAACTGTTCATTGGTTTTAAATCATGCGACTCTATTTTGAGATATTAGTCAGTAGGTGGAAGAACACTAAATTGTCATGATCTGGCCTATACTTTACTACTCAGACCCAGCTAAAGAGAAATGCAATGCAAGTCCAGTGTTAGAAAAATAATAATGATATCTGCATTTTTCTGAGAATGAAAGGGCATGTGGGAGTTATGATATGTCTAGAGTGCTTATCTGTGACTCTTATACTTTTGAGGATGCAATTTCTGATAATGTGCATCCTTAAAACACTTTCCTTTTCATTAATATTCTTCCCTACACTTTAACCCATATGGCAGAATGGACAGCTATAAATTTACTCAGTTTATTGAGTATTGTTGTTGTTCAGTCACTAAGTCATGTCTGATTCCTTGTGATCCCATGGACTGCAGCATGCCAAATTCCCTTCACTATCTACCAAAGTTTGCTCAAATTCATGTCCATTGAGTTGATGATGCCATACAACCATCTCATCATCTGTCACCCTCTCTTCCTTTTGCCTTCAGTCTTTCAAAGCATCAGGGTCTTTTCCAGTGAGCCTGTGCTTGCATCAGGTGGCCAAAGTATTGG